TACAAAGGGCCACTTGAAACTAGGCAAGTCTTGGGTAGGTTGGATTATCCCCTACATGAACACATTTGCTTTTGATTATTATCACCAGATACCTCACACATTTTTCTCCTGCTTTCCTCCTGAATCAATCCACTCATTTTCCCAGTGTTGCTAATTTTTTTTTGAATCTCACCAGTTTGACTCATAACAGTTATCTGAAATACATAGTGTACGTCTAGTATTGCCAAGTGGAGATCATCAGTTCCTAATATGAKGCTTTTACATATCCTGCATAAAAAATATTGCTACTTTTTTTTTTAATCGTATTTTAACCTTGTATCAAATTTGCTGCTTGCCTTCACCCTTAGGTCTCTTGCTATTAGGTAGCATCTATTTCTATTGAATATTTGGACTCTATTTTTTCCTCCCAGGTACCCATTACCTTATTTTGTTGTTTTTCAAATGCTGAATCTTACATTTTTATTTCCAGACAATACTGCTAACCCATCTTGATTAGCTTTATTCTTTCTCTTTTCCCACAAGTATTTACAGCCTCTCCAAATACAGTAAGCTGAATTTTCACTTGCACTCTTCCCAAAAAATTAGTATATTCAGCAAATTATAAATTCAGTATTCATAGAACTAGCCCAGAAACTTCACTAAAATCACTAAAGAGTGCAGAATTATACAAGCATTAAAAAAAAAAAAGGCATCGCTCATTTGTAAATTTATTAGAATATTAAAACTGTGTATTTCTTTGTTCATTTTTAGATGGACTGCTCTTATTACACCAGAGACGGCAAATATTCTCTGGCCTTTAACATTCGGTGTAATTAAATGGTAGCTAAAGACAGGGTTGGGGGTTGTCTGAGGTAGCAAAAGCACAGAGATGAAAATATAGAAAGAATAGGTCAAAATCAGTTTTAAAACCTCAGAATACACAAGCTTGTATCCATTAACGAGCAATTTTAATTTGATGTATGATAGGCCCAACCGAAAACCTCTACTTGTTTTAGTAGTTCTTATTTATGGGAGCTGTTTCATTCAAACCAGAGTAACACCTTAGGCAAGCAATGACTACCTGAAGAGCTGGGAGCTCGCAGGATTGGGCTCTATGCAGGAGTAATAGCTGGTACAAGATCTTTTGATTTGGCAGGTATTTTGGCCTACATTCCTATAGATATCTAAGGTGTATTTCGTTCACAAAACGCTGGTTAAATGCACTGCAATTTTCTCTTAGGTCAGCACGGAATAACATTATAAGCTTAATCTATCAAATTAAAGATCTGCCTGAAGTATACTATATTATGTTTATCACACATACAGCAAGCCCGTGTGTCTGCATACCGTGTGGCACCAGCAATATGTGCTCAAATGGCTGACTTTCATTTACATTAACTGGCATATCTTTTTTCCTTCGGTGATATCCTATTTGTTTCACAGATGTTGAGAGACGTGAACAAAACTAATGAATATTTCTAGGCAAAACGCTTCAAAACAGTATACTTTCAAAGTGACAGAAATATTTAATTTTGCGAATGTATCCCACTTACGTTCAAAATAGAATATTTCAGTGGGAGAATTTACATGTTTCAGTCTCGTCTATCAACAGTGTTTAGAATAAGAGTGGTATCTTTCAAATGCAGCATTTACAAGTCACCACTTGTCATTAAATGTAACTGTATGTTCAAGAGGTTTGTAATAATAGCCTTTAATTAAACTGGGGACTGTTAGAGGGTTTCTGTTGCCCTTTGAAGTTCTTAATTATTAGTTGTATCCAGCCCTTTATGGCACACTTAAGGTTAAATTAAATAATTAAAATATACCTCCAAGAAAAATATCGAGACTTTACACGTTTTAATTAAATTTCTGATTTTCAAGGTTTTTAAAATAATAACATATGTTTTGATTTTCTTATGATGGCATACTAGAATGCTACATACATTAAACAAAAAATCGGTAGCTTTTTATGGGAATAATCGCTAAGCATGACGCATGTAAATGAGCTATTTTCTATGCATGGCTGGCAAAAGTGCTAATTAAATAGTTGGTATTCAAGGCTATGCTCGTTCATTGTTTAGTGACATACAAATCCAGCGATGTGTGCCAGCAGACATTTTAAGTTGAATGTTTTCTCCTCTGCGCTCTTTGTCATGAAATGGTGGCACCATGATGAGAACACTAGTGTAAGCAAAACACTGAAATATGCTTTAATAATGTTTTAACCATGTAGCGACACTAGTCTAGTTTTCTAATGAATTTTTAATTTCTTTCTTCTTATAAGGATGTTACGAGTTATCGCTGATGCATATTAAATCATATACATGAGTCATTTTCTCACTAAATTTGCATAAAATGGCTAAATGCTAATGCACCAAATGGGGCTTACTATATATGGTACAGTAAATATGCCCTTGCAGGTTTTCTGCAATCAATCTCCCGTATTTCATTAGCAGCTAGATAAAGGTCTGTGGTGAAAAGAAAAAAAAGGAAAACTATTGTGTATACGCGGCAAAACTTACGATACCTATGATGATTTCTACATGATGATTAGAACCCGGTCTAGAATTAGAATTTGCACAAGATTAAAAATAAGGTTCCTTGACAAGTGCAGTTAAATGGTCTCTGTGAAAGCAGTCTAGTGCTGCTAATAACCACCAAGCAGTTCATTGAGACTTTTTGCATTTAGCGTTGAATGCTGGGTTTAAAACACACATAGTGCATTATTCTAAATCCRCAGTGTTTTATTTATCTCTAATTCTCCCTGCTAACTCTGCAGCCACAAAACCCTTGCCAGCTTCACGCTACTGTCTAGGTGTAAGTTAAAAATGCAATTCTTCTCTTATTGTTATATACACTCACCATCCAGCCACTTCCTCTGCTGTATTGCTGCTAATAGAAATTATGCATCCCAACCCCATATGCGCTTGAATTGCCACACTGATATTGTGGTCACAAATAAGAGTGGCATCATTAATGACAATATTATTAATACAAACAAAAATCTTGTACTTAATGAAGGAAACTTTGTTCTCTCTCTTTTTTTTTTCCCCCTTTCTTTTTAACATCTGGAACATTTTTGTACCTGGTGCAAAAAGGGCTATTTAAAAATAAATGTATGCTTTGCCCTACAGTTATTTTGAATTAGTCTTGATAAATAATTAAGTAATGCATAATATATTATTTAGATGCAATGGTCTTAAGAATTTGAGTGGTATTTCAACTACAATTATAGTAATTTATTTATCAGTGAAAAATTTACATAATCACACTTCAAAATCCAGTGGACTGGAGAGATATCAGAAAGACACCCAGGAATGTGTGTAATGACTTTGGGCATTAGATTAACTTAATAATGTAGTCATGTGCAAGATGTTATAATATCTACCATAGCTATATTTGGCGAATCATACTTAACTTACGAAAGCATAAATATTATTTTTGCTATTTTAAGAAAAAAATTCTACTTATAAATACAAAATAGGATTCAAATATTCTATAACAAATAAAATATTATTCCTATGACAATGGAAGTGAATTTAAATATCATTTGTAATACCTTGAGTCTTTGTTTTCAGCTGTCAGTGGAAAAAACRTTGATTTTATTACCATAACATCATTAAAAGGTTACTTGATTTTGTTTAGCTATTCTAAATTTTCACACTGACCATGAATGGTAAAGGAAAACACAGGAAAGAAATGGAAGTCTTCAGTGTGGAGAAGTGGTGCTAGCAGTAACTCGCTCTTGTTAATCATGCTCTGACTTTTCCCTTAGCACATGAAATCTTTCTGAAGCAAATGTGGTAGAGCTCACAGTTATGAGGGAGGATAGTAAACTTATTTCATGGCGGGGGGAAAAAAAAAAAAAGCAGCTATAGATCATAAGATTTCAGAATGTAAACTTGCACACATGCGCACACACACCTATATGCCTGCATATGCCAATTTTGTTCATATGTAGCATAAAAAGAGAATCTGTCATATGAAACTAATTTATGCCATTTGAGAATTATGTGCATTTAGAGGAAGATATAAAATTAATATTCATCTATTTCCACCAATATATTTAAGCCTACTGGTAAAATATTGGTACCCCATAAAACTCCCAGTACTCAACTAAATAGTAACCTATATAATGTGTGCTTACATCAATTACAGCCATAGAAAAAGAAGTTTTAATGGTTTGTTTTGAAGCAAATAGTCAACATAGAACAATCTATGAAAAATTAGCTCTGGTTCCATTTCACCATAAGGTGATTCTTCTCTATGAACTTATGGACAATGCTAAGATGCTAAAGATAAAAATTTACAGTTTACACTCAAAAGAAAAAAAAATCAAGAAAAATGTTAATTTTACATTTTCTGACATACCGTAACTGCTGTTCAACTATACTGGTGCGAGGAAATTGCTCCCATACATTCCCCATCTTTACTTTGCAGGTTTTCTGTTACTAACTTCAGCTTTCTCATACAGAGATATTGTGTCTTAGATTCCAATTACATTAAACTATTGTCGTTATTCACATGGCAATGATATTATTTTATAACATCCCAAATTCTTGTTTCCTAAAGATAATACTCTACGCTACAATGACAGTGGAGCATTTTGCACGGTAATGTCCCTTTCAGAAACCTGACATTATTAACAGACTAAATGCAACTTATTTGAAAAGGTGACTCTTAAAAATAATAAATAAATAAATAAATAAATAAATAAATGCCCTTTTCACTGACATATTTTATTTTGGAATTTAAGTTATCCATACAGGTCCTTTAACAAGGGCCAAATGCTGGTGCTATTGGAGTCCAAGATTAGATTGACCAAGATTTGGCCCAAAGCATGGGACATTTATTTTTCAAAAAAAGCCTTCTTAGACTCCGAAAAAAAAAAAAGCAAATTACCGTTTCTCACAGTCATTTACTTATAAAGTTTGTTTTGACCTAGTTCCTATTTTCCATACACTGATGTGCAAACTGGAGAGGGAAAGTGGAGAGGCTAAAAATAAGAGGTGGTTCCTTACCTAAATCTTTTATATATTGCCCATTTCTTTAGTTTCTGTGTCAGAGGCAGCTGGTGATCCTGCTCACTTCCAAAACCTTACTTGCAAGCCATGTGGTTCTCAGCACCGTGGAAGCCACAACAGTCTGCAAAACGTTAAGCAKATGAAGAAGACCTGTGTTCATATCACATTGCACTTCAGCACAGATATCTAGCGATCAGTGTTTAGGATKTGATTATCCTAACTTTCTAGTAATACACACCTCAGATTTTAAAAGGAGCTCAAGGAATTGCAAAAGGTGGCTAAGAAAGAAACTGGAGGATGAACCTTGAGCTCACCCTGAATTTAGTGCTGACTAATAATCTGCACCTGGTGATTCCTCCTATATTAAATACATATGTATTGACTTTTTGACTACCTTTTACAAATACCTCTATCTAGGGGCAGCCCAGATGCAAAACGTGACAGAGAAGGAGCCAGAGAAACCCAAGAGAGAACTCTACAGAAGAGCTGGGTTACAAAAAGCTATTTTCAAAACGCTACTCCTTTACACAAGCTGCCCTGCGAGCGCCCACACTCATGGGCTAAGTGTTCAAACCCACAAAAGTTAAAAAATGGGCCTACCCTCCTAGGGCAAAACCTGAGATGATGGCAAGTGGCACAAGGAAGTGCCAGCAGCCGTTCCACGGTACCAAATCCTGCCGCAGACTTGATTCAAACAAACAAAGCTCTCGTTATCAGCCCGTGGGGAAGCCCCCCGCAAGGCCAACCCCGAGCCCGGCCGTGGCCGTGGCCGTGGCCATGGCCGTGGCGGCGGCTCCGTCTGCGCCAGGCGCGGGGAGGCGGCTGGGCATTGCGCGGGGAGCCCCGCGGCCRCCCGCCGCACCGGGCCGCCTTTGGCTCCACCTTCAAGCGCTAAAGAGTTAAGATGGTGTCATTAGCTGCGCACAGCGTGATTTCGCCCTAATCCTTCCTGGAACTTACAACAAGTTTAAATGTCCATGCATGATGTTATTAACTGGCTTTAGCGAGGACTTAAGGCTCGGACGCTTTTCCCCCCCTCTTTTTTAAGGCGCTCTCCGGACAAGGTACCGCTACCGAGCCCGGGGGCAGAGCCCAGGGCGCCGCGGGGCTGGGCGCAGCTCGCCCCGCCCCCACCTGCGCGGCGTGGCGCGCGACCGTTAACGGCCGCTAACGGCCGGCGGGGCAGCGTGGCGGCCGCCGCGCGACGAGGCTCCGGCAGCCGCCCCTCCCGCCCCGCACATGGCGACGATGACACGATGACAAACCAGCGACAATAATAACTCAATTACTCTGCAACGTGATATCGGCTGGGAGGGGCCGCTCCGCTCCCGTAGGTGGCTCGCGCGAGCCGGCGGACACAAGCGGCTGCCTCTTGGCGTAAGGGAAGCGCTAATTAATAATAATCACCACCAACAATTAATAGCTGGCATTAATAATGCAGGCTCGGGGGCGGGGAGCCGGGGAAGGGGAGCCGAGTGATTAATGGCAGCCGGAGCGCAAGCGGACGTGGCGGGCGCGCAGGCCAGACGTGTAAAGCCACAGCGGGAAGCGGCTCGGCGGGCCGGGCCGGGCCGGGCCGCGCTGACCCGGCGGCGCCCCGCGCGGC